ATAGACTCCTTAACGATGCTGTAATGGTATTTAAATGTCTTCATGATATAGTTCCAAAAGATCTGGCCAAGATGTTTGTATCTCGTTCTCATATTCATATTAGTACTACGTGATCATGAAATCTTTTACACATCCCTCGTTGTCGTCCGTCTTCAGGACAACGTTCATTCAAATATCGTGGATGCAAACTTTGGAACTTTATTCCTAATGATTTGAAAGCTGCGGACAGTGTAAATAGCTTCAGGCGTCGTTTAGCGCAGAGGCCCATAAGCGGAGAACATTTGTGTCGAGTATAATTAGCTTTTAAAGTATACTTTTAGGTCTTTTGTAATTGATTCTAGCTCGAAAATGTATTATTTGCCTGTTATTTCTTCTTCTCCTTTTTAACTTAAATGTATCTTGAATATTGTAGTTAGACATTGTAACCAAAAAGCCCAAGTTGGGAGTTTCAATAAACAATAAAAGTATGTATGCAATTTGGGAAAGAAGAACTCCACTCACCGGGAGGATGGATCAGTCACTTCATCAGTTGTGTCGATTGAATGAATCAATGCGTCGACTATGTGAAAGAAATATTTTGAATATATCAACAAAAATGAAATGGTAAATTGGCCACCGTTACGATTGTAAAAGCTGACGTTTCGAGCGTTAGCCCTTCGTCGGAGCGAATGGGGGAATTGTGGGTTGTGTGTACTTTTAAAGGCAGAAAAAGGAGCTACGTGATTGGTGGGAACTTGGCAACGAGAAAAACACGAATAAATTAGTGGAATGAAAAGCGTTCGTGAAAGAAAAACTGCACCAGTAAACCATCGAATACAAATCTGTAATTTGTAAATTTATCTGGCGCTGATGCTATGCTGTCTTGAAATTGTCATCAATGTACGTAGTCGATGAATAATTCGAATGCAAGACTTGACACTTTCCCTGAAACCTCATGCGTTCTCCATAGGAAGCAAAACTAAACAACAGCCTCATGCTCCGATGGTACAATGACGTCGTAAAAACAGTATTAGGTAAATTTTAAGAATTATTCACCGTGGTGGATGTGAATAGCGGTAGATAGAGATAACGAGCCGAGAAGCAGCGAGGTAAATATCCACCCCATCCACCAACACTCAGATGAATAACTGTTTTGGTAAATACCGCTTAGGTTACGAAAACTTATTATATTTCTTTTAATATACCAACAAATGGTCCGCGCGAATTTGACTCATCGCCTGCTCGGAGAAGAAGTGTACTTACGATTTTCTTCTGAACGAGCCAATCAGCCCGCGCGGAAAGCACTATTCACCATTCACTATTCACTACTCACCATTGTCGTTATCATTTGATAGATTGCGTATCCAATTTACTTTAGAGGTGTTAGGGATTTTCATCTCGCAAACCTTAGAATTCCAATTATTTTCTTTTTTTCGCATCTATAGAATTAAGCCTCTAACAGGAACTTGTAATGTTAAGATATGAGCTAAAAGAGATAGGAGTTTAAAAGTGTATCTGAAAGAGAGAGAGTTGTTTTTCATTCCGAAGATTGCTTTGTACGAGTGTACCCAGAATGTTTTTGTTTTATAGCTGTTAGCGTTAAAGTTGTGAGAGCGCTTGTGCATACTGTACTTCTAAGTTCTAAGCACAGAATATCTTAAACTTGCAGAATCATTCACCTGGACAGTGAAACCAGCCAATCTAACATTTGTAACAAAAGGAGAAGACAAGTCTCTCACATGGAAGTTCACTCTAACTGCTGATGAACAGACTAAGAGCCAGACATTCTCTCTTATTCAGTGGAAAAAGTTTAATCAGACAAGTTCAGATTATTATGGAATTGCTTCCACAACCTTTCTAAATCTCGTTGGGACACCTAGTTACTATGAACCCAGAGCCCCACATATTGAGATTGTCAGAAGTGATCAAGCCACATTACTCATCAAAAATGTCAGGACAGAAGATGAAGGAACTTACAAGATTGAGTACAGTGTACAGTTTGGTGGGACTCCTATTGCTGATCATCAAGTAAATGTTACATTTTTAGGTAAGTTTACATGTGAGAAGTTTTTTTTTCTAATGTCTTGGGTGCTTTTGGCTTAGCTCTCGTCAGGTAACAGTCACATAAAAAGGTTATTTACTTGTCAGTAAATAATGTTAGGTAAAACTAGATTTGGTTTTAACACTATGAATCAAGAGGTATAGTGTAGGTCAGACATTCGTACGCCTTTAGATTTGTTGATTCGCTGTCTGTCATGGCCAGCGATCAGTTTTTACTAGGGACAAAAAATCTTATTCCCAGGTAAAAGCAGAATTCAGTTGAGTTTGAATTTTACGCAGAATTGAACAAACAGTTGCAATCACTAATATCCGTTCAAGAGAAAAAATAGTTTTCTGCTTCGGCCCAACCTTATGTCAACTGGAGTGAACAGAAACAATTAAAAAATATTGTAGCATATAACAATTGGAATTCAAAACCAAACTGTTCCATATTTCAGTCACATACCCTGAATAAAATTATTTTGTTATTCTGTCTTACAAACGTCAGTTGTTTTAATAATGAAAGCATTAGACCTGGCGAGGGTTTTTAAGTATAAGTGAAAAAAAAGATAAATCTAAAAGCAGCTCATTTACACTGTATGCAGAAGGCTAAAAGTTTAAGAAAACTAAGTTGATTTTCGTCAAAGAAGCAACCTCTGTGTCTCAAATTAATGAGCAACTGTAGCTTTATTTAGACTGAAAGAATGGTTAAATGACCTCAATGGAACAGGTGGAGCTATTAAGACCATAGTTAGTAGAGGAGGACTGGGTCCCCCTCTACTAACTATGGTAAGACTGAATGTATAGCTCACATTTTGGGGCTTCTCTGGCTCGCGATCTCTTTTAACTAGTTATGGGCTAACAAGTAATAAAAGGTTTAACAAATTTTGTTCGTACATGCATGTATTTTGAGGGAATTTATAAGTTATTGCCCCTTTTGCAAGGATAAATATTTTTCTTGAAAACATGAAACTGGGGACCAAAGTCGGACATCTTAATATATCATTGAGTAAAACACATTTATAATTAAAATCTTATCTTCACAATTCTTGAGTATGCGAAACATATGCAGTAGATCACCCCACTATTCTCCATACTTAGATTGTTGTTTACTTCACTTCCCCGCCAGAAAATTGCGTAGCCTTATGTTGAAAACTCTAAGAACTGTGCGTTTTGACACGAAACAACACTTTACACTGACATATAGTTTAAACATTACATTTATCGGGCCGTGGAAACGTCAAATTGTCGCTAGGCCACACTTGAAGTAGTAAAAGTTGGATTTCGCTTTCATGATAGCCCTAATTCGCATTACTTCGGAGAATTAGTATGTCGTCGACTCGAAAGCTTATTCCGTCGCTTTTAAGACTTTGATAGCCACTATTTTCCGAACAGAGTACTCAAAAGGAACAGTGTTACGGGAAAATTTAGTGATTTATCCGTGTGGATGTTTAAAGCGGGACTGTGACGAAAAACGTCAGTTTCTCCGATCACAATGAAATTTTGTGTTTAAGATCTCAAAACGTTAAGGAATGACTGTATCGATTTTCGAGTTTAAATTCCTACGGTAAGTAGTATTTTTTGGACGATCTTTTTCGAGGCTGTTGAATTCGATTGGAATGTACTGAATCTGGCCGAGGAAGTATGGGGAGACCGGTAGTGACGTCATCCAACCAACCAAGACATAAAGTTGTCAAAGCCATGAGTGTTGTTTCGATGGTTTTATGAGTAAGAAACGCGAAAAGTTCGAATCTTAGTAAGATTATAATTTTAAAGCTGGCTTATCATAATGCCTTCGTCTCGATGCGTTGTGCAGGGATGCGGCGATAGATGAAATCCACAAGATGGAATCTCTCTACACAACTCCCCCGTTAACAAAAACCTTCCCGCGAAGTGGAAGGACTTTGTCAGACTTTACAGAAAAAACTTCGATCCCGAAGGCCGGTTTGTTGTTTGCTCGGAACATTTTTTAGAATCGTGTTTTTCAAGGACATGCCATCTAAAAGGGGCATTGGGAAGATTGATACCAGGATCAGTACCAACTATCTGGAAAAGTTTGAGGGAAAGCCGCGGTAATCACGAGGAAACCTCAAGTGCTTCATCGAGGGATCAGCGCATGGTGAGTCGACTTTTCTAATCAATTTTTCCCAACTATTCAACACCTGTAGGAAATATCTATAAAACACAAAAATTGTCAGTGTAATTTTCCAAACTTTCATTCGCCATTCGTTATTCATTGGTTTATTGTAACTTGTAGTAAAGTATTCTGGAAATCTGTCTAAATAGTTCTTCGACAGTTTGTCAAAGTGGAGGTGTTCTTTCCATTCAGTAGAATGCAAAGACGTGACGTGACTGTCCAGCAAAATTCGAAGTGTAGAGGCCCAGTTAAAGGGCACAAAGTTATTAATAAAATAAGAATCTGTCCCCCTATTATAAATTGACTTGATCCATGAAAACATTTTAATTATTGTCATTCTGAATATTTATTACGAGACATTGGTTACTGACAAGAATATATTCATATGCTTAATAAAGATATAAAAGTATGTAATTGTTACGGTTGCAGAATATAAACAGCTTCTTTAACCATTAAAATCACATTTGCAAAAAATATTTCTACCGACTTACATCAAACTATATCATGTAAGCTAATGTTTTTTTTTTCTAATCCATTTTCACTGCATTACCGCAGCAGGGTAGAACTGGAACGGAACATATGCGATCCATGCGAGTAGTCCACCCATTAAATCCCACCTATCCCACCCCAGGGGAGGACATCCATCACATAGTAATCTCGTGCGTGGGAAATTAACGTCTCCTACCCCTAACCCTGCAGGAGACGGGACCTCCATTTATTCGTCCCTATCCGAGAAGACTAGAATATCTCACCATTTCTTGATGTTATAAGAAGGTAGCATATTCTTCTCAATTATTTTAAGACCTTGAGTGTTGGTTCAGTCGGGGCTTGAACCCTCGACCTCCCGCACAACAGAGCAACGCTCTATCCATTGAGCTAACTGGGAGGCGGTACTGGTTAAATCATGGAAGAACTAAACATATTTACATGTAATTTTTAAAATCAAAGATAATTAAATGTCAGTACTTGCAATTGTCTATTCATTAGTATTTTGTTCCTTTTAATCTCCTTCATTGTCCTCATCCTCTTCCTCTTCAAATCTCTTGTAATATCCATCTTCACTTGGAAATGCACATCGTATTGCATTATATATGCAAGAGGGTAGAGGTGTTCGCATTGAATTGCCCATGTAGTTCCAAAATAAATCTTACAATTTGCCTGTATGCAACGGAACGTAGAAATCTGAAACAAAAACATAACAATATTGAAAATATTCTTATTTGAAGAAAAAACTTAGATGGTTTTGAAGGAGAAGTACATGTACAAACATAAAATTAATCTAATTTTTATGCTTACTTTAATAATTGTAATCGTTTAGTATAACATACTAAACAATAGTAACACAGCTGCAGTCGTAATGTAAAAAGTCTGTTGACATGCAACTGTTCGTAAGTTCAAATCTTTGGCAAATATATAGCAGATTTCACAAATGAACTTTTTCTCAATGACGTGCAAATAAACTTACCGAGACTCAGAGTATCTATTTTCTCTGTACAAAGCAATGTAACTCCTATTTGAACGAGTTTTCAGTCCAATCGCTGCGGTCTCGAGGACCCATTTGTCAAGACAGACGTTGTTGAACCCTGGGTGTTCCGTAATGCAATAGTCTTCAAGTTCGAGTTCAGCCATTTTATCTTGACATCGATGCATCTCCATGCAGCAAAAACATTCCTCTGCTTTCACCACATACTCCAATGAGCATTTTGAACAACTACACCTGCGAAAATGATTGCTTTCGATTTTTGTAAGCACAATACAAACTAGTCAGTCTTCTGTAATTGTTGTCTCAACAAAACCGAAAAAAAATATCGACAAAGATTAGAATTTACACAAAAGAGGCCCTACAAAAAGTGTCTTTTAGTACTGTGATAATGCAGATTACTCGGCATACTAATATATTGACATTCCTCCAAGAACTTATTAAAATCTTACCAGGATTCAACTTGAACTTCTCTTGTGAATCTCTTCTTAAACTGTTGTCCGCGCTCCTCTTCGATGGCTACTTGTTGTAGGTAGCTCGAGTGCTCTTCCTCTGTAGCCAAAGGCTCAAATTCCTCAATTACATTGGTTCTTTCATCAGGAAAAGTACTGTTCACATCACTTTCAAGGGAAGCTATCTAGGGAATAGAGCAATAACTAGATGATCGATCACTTTCGCTTGAAGACACAGTGATTTTGCCCTGCAAGCTCTCTTGCCTTCAAGGTGTCTTGATTGGATGACGTCACTACGTTTTGACGCGTTACCGATGTCCTGCCGCTCATTTATTCACCAGCAATATGGCGGAAGGGCGATTTCGCAACGCAAAAGTTTCATTTTCTCGGCGGTCGTTGGCTAGATTTTTCTAATATTTAAAACATATGTCATTCAAAGTGAATAAATTCGAGATATTGTTGTAAAAAGGTTCTACGGAATGATACGTTTTTCGTCACAGTCCCGCTTTGAGCATATTTATTCGTATTTTTTGGTATTCCAGCCGTTCTCAACTGATTCATGCAAGTTCCTTTCATTGCGATGTTTTAAAAAGATAAAAAGCCACAAGTAGATTTTGACTAGTCAAGTTAAGTTGTACAGCTGCATCTCGACAATTTTGTTGTTCGTTCTTTGTGAAATTTTAAATGTAAGTGTTAAGGGTCTTTCTGGAAAAATTGGTTCTCGTGGTAGTTGGCAGCTGAGTTTGAACTCGTAATTTTCATTTCCTTTCATACGATAGTTTCCACATCAACCTTGCATAGATAATCACAAACTTTTAATTACTTTTACACTCTTGTTTCCTAAGCTGCACTAAGATAAGTATTTTTTATACCAGAGCTGTGAATTCTCACCTAAGTTTCTTATTTTTAGTGACCTCGCGTTGATTGCATCCGTCCTT